TGACCCCCCTAACATGAGTATCTTTTTTTTTTTTTTCTATCCAGGATAAAGTGCACTGGCTTCCTTACCTCAGCATAGCTTGCATTCTTGCAATTATTGCATCATTCTGCATTGGACCAGGTATGTGTTTGTTTTTTTTCATGTTTCTCTCTACACCAAAGCGTGAACTTCTGCACTGGCAATACATTAACAACTTGCAAGAGGGAATGTTATTTTACACTCAGCCTAAGATTGTGTGGACTTTAAGGCCATAAAGTAATCACAATAGATCCACAAAGTAGCTTTCTGTTTAAAATCTGCAGGTGCATGCATTGCCACTTAGCTGTCAGGGGTTTATTGGTGTTTGCTGGCCACCACAGATGTCTCTTTCCTTTATAATGAATTAGACACTGATCATTAATCATCTGCTTACACATCTTCAGCACTGAAGTGATCTAATTAATTGATTGTGATTTATTAATAGAAATGAAGAGTTACTGGTATTTTGTGCAAGTCTAAACATAGCTGTAATGCCACGAATCATATTTTGAAAATGACTACAAATTAGGCTACTTTAGATGGAGACCTGGAAAAGACCAAAATATTCACATTTCTCCTTGCTCCTGGGAAAATAGGCTGTCATTCCTATACTTATTCGTATATATGTATGTGTGTGGTGACTAACTGGAAGAAGGTAGGAGTCAAATAGACTTGACCAGAAACATACAATCTCCCCATTCTTGATTAATGCACTTAATTTTGGAACATAAATGCCTTATGAAAATCGTTCTTTTTCCTCACCTCCTTCTCTTTGTAAAGACAGATTAAGTTGAGTTTTCAGCATTGTTGATATGTGTTATTTAGACTGGGAATTCTTTTAAAAGGATGTATTCAGAAAGCGCAAGCAGCTCTATTCCTTTTGAAAGCTCTCCTTTCAGTGTTTTAACAAATTAAGTTTAAACAATTTAAGCAAGTACAGAAACTTTCAGCACCTACCTGTTTCTTTCACAAAACTCTTGAAGAGAATTTGTAGAGTACTTTATCCCATATTTCCAATATGTTCCACAGTTTTTAGAACTTGCAGCTTGATATTTCCTATGATATATCACCAGCATCTTAAAATAAGTGCTCTGCATTTCCCTTCTGTCTCACTATTCCAGTAAATGGATTCTGGTTTTCTTTGCTTAACTTCATTTCTTTTACTGACACTCTTCAGAATTTCTAATGTATTTCACCCTTGTTTTGAAACAGTATGTCCACACATATATGCAAGACTGGACCAGCTGTTTCTCGATATTACTTAGTTGCTTTCTACAAAAAAACCTTAAGATTATATCACCCTATGTGTTTTTTTCATTGTGGCCTTTGCTTTTTAGCCAAACGACATTAAGTTATTTTAGGTATGTAGCTGGCTTCTTCACCTTCCCAGCGGGTGTTCAGATGTTCTTAGTAATGACTGAGAACATGACATGGTGGGAAGATGAGGGACAAGAGGCTCAAACAAGAGCGACTATATGGATATATAGGCAGTCAAGCAGGCTGCCAAACTAACCTGTGCAATCTCCAAGTATGGAGATTTTCATAACTCAGTTGGGTGAGCACTGAGCAGCTTGACCTTACCTCACCCCTGACCCTGCTTTGTGCGATAAGTTATGTGAGACACCTCCAGATGTTTTTCCATCTGTGACATCCTTTGGGCAAGAAATGTGCATGACCAGTAGCTGTCATATGTATAACCATATCTTTTGTTTTCCTTGGTGTGATGCTCTTTGGTCTTAGTTTGGAAGAATTGGTCATCTTCCTCCCTTCCCAAGTTTTTTGTCACCTTGTAATTTTTCACCATATCATACCCAGATTTTTCCAGACTGAATGGCTGTTTCTTATCATTTTTGTTTGTTGGTTTGTTTTCTCAGACTTACGATAATCTCACAGCAGGAAAATTTCAGTACAGTATTCTCTTGGAGCAAGCACTCTGGTACTTTATTCAGACACAACTGAAGCTTTGAGATAACTTTCCAACTATTTTGCTTAGGAAATACTATTTTCCCCAGTAGAATTAACCAATATTTGTTATCATCAGGGTGCCACTTTTTAGTATTTTTAGCACGGGTCACTTGGGGTAACATTTGTGGGTCACTTGTTTATATTGGTTAAACGAGTACTATTGTTGTGGTCTCTCTACTTTGAGAGACCTACTTTCTACTCTCTTACTGTGTTGTCTCTCTCTACAAGAGATTAGAATCTCATCAAATTCCTCTTGTAGATATTTGGAGCTTGTGAGCATCCTTTCAGAGTAAATCCCACATAGTTTGTAATGAATCTGCAAATACAGATCTTCTTCTAGAATGAATTCAATTTGCATTCATTGAAGTATTGGTATAAGAATTATGTCATCTGAAAATGGTAAATAATGTGGAGAAGTTGTCTCATACTGCTGTAAAATATAAATAATAATTAATAAAACTGCCTTTAAAATGCAGCATTTTCTCTGTTGGAGCTACTTGTAGGAATATGTCTTCAATATTGTACTGTCTACCACTTTGAGAATAGCATATGGATTAGTTCCATCTACTCCTGACATTTAGGATCAGATGTTACTATAAACTAAGGTTTTAAATTTGTTTCATTTTTCTGAACTCAGGTTTTCAGCTTGCAGAAGTTTTTTCAGTGATATTACCAAGCACTGAAACTGTAATACGGGTAGCAGCCCAGGCATATATGTGATCTGTTATTTCCTCATTAATATCAAAAGACATGCATCAGAAAGCTTTCATGTATTTACTAAAAGTGGAAGGGACTCTTATGTTCAAAATAGTCATATACTCATATATACTCATATGCTCAGCACCAATCTAGACCTGAATAAAAAAAAATCCTTCAAAAATAGCTTATTGCTCTATCAGATGAGGAAGCTGTGCTGTTCCAGATATTTGTTTCATTGTGCTTGTTTGGTTGGCTTTATACAAAATAAAGAAATTTGGTTGCAGAGAAACCTACCACTTTCCAAGGTTATTTTTGATTATGGAAATGTTCTAGCAAGTAATTTTAGATTTTTAACCCCAAGGGAAAAAGCAGAAACTTCAAGTAAATGTTTTCTTGACTGTACCTTGGACATGAAATACTTTCAAAGGAAAAAAAACTTTAGTTAATAAAAGTGCAAGTAGACAGGACTGATAAGATTGGTCCTGGTTCATAAGGAAACAACAAGAAAAAAAATGCAGAAAACAAATCAGAGAAAAAGTTAGGAAAAAATATTTTTAATATCTCTGCAAAGCATGCATACTATTTGGGTTAGGTGTCATGAGCAAATACATTATTTGGAATGCCTTTCCTGAGTAAACAGGGTGCGACTCCTTGAAAATTTAGTGATAGATCAACTTAGGTACATAAGAAATGTCTTAATTCTTTAACTTTTTCCTGGAGTGATATTATTTAAGGAAAAAAAAAAGAAAAGCCCTCTAAAAGCAGTTATCGCCAATTGCTCAATTAAATCCATATGGCTTCTGCTTCATGGAATATTACCATACTGAACTATACTTTCCTGTTTCAGGAAAACTATATTAAAATTTGATTTAAAAAAGAAAAGTGTAGATTCTGTATGTTCACCTATTGTGCCTTTGCACAGCACAACAGGGGCTGTACAAAGAAGGGATTTTTGATTCTGCCAGGTGAACAAAAACGTGCCTATAAATATGTATGTACACTGCATCTACTGCATCTACTGAAGATCTGGCATGGAAGTAATCCTTCCTTTGCCATTTTCAGTCATTGAAAAAGTATTCTGTCAAAAAATAATATAAAAATAAATAAAAAATATTTTAGCAAAAATAGCACCCAAAGTGCTATTGTTGTCCTAAGAGATGCAAGTAGTGCTTGTTTTGCCTGTCCTTTGACCATAGTTGCAAATGCACAGAAGCAGATGTGCATTAATGTTCCTTCCTTCATGGCACATTCTTCAAGCATCCTTTAGAGCCCTGAGAAAGGAGAAGCAACTGCTTCAGTTACAGCAATCAGTAGTGGTGGTAGAAGCTTCAGAACCTATTGGAATGCTTTTATATCCTTAACTTAATCATAATTTGGGCTATCTTTCTGCGGAAATTTGTATTATATTATTAGCAGTTCAGGTCTGAGATTGGAGATTTCATCAATTCTCACTTCATCTTTCACAATTTACTCATTTCTAGTAGTAGGAAATGTCTAGCAGTTACAGAGCAAAAAAGTCAAATAAACTAAGGAACAGGATAAGAGTTTAAGAAAACTGAAAATGCCAGCTGGTAAAGCAGAAAATGTAGGTGACATCTGTCACCTGAAAATCTTCTGTAGTTATTTGTTTTATCTATTTTTAATTCATTTGAAAGGCTGTTTTTTTTTTTTTTTAACACGGTAAAGCATGCTCTTTTTATATTGTTATACAGATAATACATAATATCATACAGACCTAACAGATCATATTGTCGTGTGGAAATTCACTGCAGTATGACACGAAAAGTAGTCATTTTGTTGTCGTGTGTCATGTCATCATCTCTGAGACGAAGACTTATTGCTGAGTATTAGAATGCAGAATTGCTCATATAGCAGTTTGGACACGAAGGCTGCAAAGAATGGCTGCTGGGAAGGTCAGGATAATAGAAAGATTTTTATATGAAAATATACAGGAAAGCTTTATAGTGTATAGTAAAGAAACAGTAGAAAATATGATTTCTGTGAATACACAGACAAAGGGACAGGAATACTCTATATAAGTTGAAGGCAAATATTGCAGCTAAAAGACAACAAAAAGACCCACTAAGGTACCAGGTAGCCAGGGCTAAATTTAGAATAGAAATTGGAAGAAAACTCCTAACTACTAGAAAAACAGTTTCTCGGTGAAATCAGTGAGGGAGAAACTAAACAAATCAGCTTAATACATTCATGAAAGGACCATATGGACTACTATGTGAACCTGGAGAGGACTGGACTGGACCCAGATAATCCAATGCAGTCTTACGTTGTTTTATGTCCAAGATAAGTCTTCTACATAAAGTGGAAGAGCGTCCATTAAATGGAATCTTCATTTTACAAAAATCTAGCTGGTCATTATGTAAAAGACGATTTAATTTACATGTTTAATTCCCAGCTGCCGTTTTAGATCAGTGTGAATC